TCCTTGAGAAATTCCCAGTTATCATCTTGAATTTTCTTGACGGTTTTATATGAGATATTCTTAGTAAACCACTGCTTCCCTTTGACAAATTCTTGGTAAATTACTGATCTTCTTGACATATTCTTAGAAGACAGATTCTTGGTAAACCACTGCTCCCCTTGACAGATTCTTGGTAAACCACTGCTCTCCTTGACAGATTCTTGGTAAACCACTGCTCTCCTTCACAGATTCTTGGTAAACCACTGCTTCCCTTTGACAAATTCTTGGTAAATTACTTAGCTTCTTGACATATTCTTAGTAAATGTCTTCTCGCCTTGACATATTCTTGGTAAACAACTACTCCCCTTGACAAATTCTTGGCAAATAACTACTCTCCTTGACAGATTCTTGGTAAACCACTGCTTCCCTTGACAGATTCTTGGTAAACCACTGCTCACCTTGACAGATTTTTGGTAAGCCACTGCTTCCCTTAACAGATTCTTGGTAAGCCACTGCTCTCCTTGACAGATTTTTGGTAAACCACTGCTTCCCTTGACAGATTCTTGGTATACCACTGCTCTCCTTGACAGATTCTTGGTAAACCACTGCTTCCCTTGACAGATTTTTGGTAAACCACTGCTTCCCTTGACAGATTTGTGGTAAACCACTGCTTCCCTTGACTGATTTTTGGTAAACGACTGCTTCCCTTGACAGATTCTTGGTAAACCACTGCTCACCTTGACAGATTTTTGGTAAACCACTGCTCTTCTTGACAGATTATTAGTAAACCACTGCTCTCCTTGACAGATTTTTGGTAAGCCACTGCTCTCCTGGACAGAATCTTGGAGTTTTCTTGGTTGGCCCATTTGAGAAATTCTCAGTAACTTCTCCTGATCTTCTTTGGCTGCTCCCCTTGTGTAGTTCCTGGTTGCTAATGATGTTAAAGCCTGTTCTCCTGAAGCAATAGGTACTGAAGGTAGTTTAGAAAAGATATAAACCCAAAAGAAAAGGTAGTTTAGACATTTCAACAGTTGCTGTCTCCATTGTAAAGGAAAGTACACAACCCACTTATAATCTCAGCTTGCCGGTTTTTAATTTATTTCTGCCTAAACTTGCAAGTCTGTTCAGTTAGACAGAAATATCCATTATATGAACAACTGATTTTAGAAATTGCTTATTTATTTATTTTTCTGTGAATAAATTGTGAACAATGCATTTGTATTTAATTGAATGTAGGGCTGATGATATTGAATTCAGTACAAGTTGTGTGAACTATGCTTGAATTTTTGACTTGAGTTTTTACTTTTCTCTGACGAACATAACAACCAAAGCTCCATTGCTGCCTCATTCACCGCATACTTATCTTTTTCTGTGTTAAATCAGTAGCTCTTACCTTATCCATGTCTTTATTCTACCAGACTGAGAGCTTGCTACTTGGAGGGACTTCTCAGGATTGGCACTGTTGTTTTCTTTTCTTCTTCTTCTTAGTGTTCTTCTTCTTCTGTCTTCCTAACTCACATTATCTGCTTATTTATGTGGAGACTTTTAGTTCCTTGGACTCAAGCAGATGCGCTTTGACTCAGAGGACAAGTCCAAAGTCGTCATTTATGATATGCTTAATAGGGAGACAGTGGGTCCATTCTTGTTGCTCCCTAAATGGGGCCCTGGGACGCCACATGGGAAATACTTTCTGTTAACTTGTGGCATCAAACAAAGGGTTAGTTTCCTTGAGCCTGTTGCTCAGTAAAAGCTGTTCCAATAAGCACTGATTCCCCATCATCCTTGACCGTCTCCTGTCTCCATAGTCAATCAATCAGGTGCCGTCTCCACAATGAAGGTTGGCTGCAATGGATCTCCAACAAGCCCTGTCTCTTGCCCTTGATGTACACTCACTCATACTGCTGTTTGTCCATCTCTTGATGTTATCCTCCCACTTGTAACGCTGTCTGCCTTTTGCTCGCCTACCTTGAACCTTTCCCTCTAGGATGATCTTTACAATACTGTTATGTCTTTTAATGTGGCAAAAATATTTCACTTGTCTCTTTTTTATTTCACCTAGCAACTCTCTTTTCATTCCCAATTTCCTCAGTACCTCTGTATATGATAGCTTTCATATTAGGCAATGAGTTTGTCCCACTTTGTCTGGGTCCTATCCCTTGACCTACCCAACACTGGAAACTACTAGTAGCCAGGACTTTTATTTCTAGGAAAAAAAGTGTCCGAAGTCAAAAGCATCTACAGCATAACACTGAAAATAAAAAGCCCTAACACAAAAAAAATGTGCTGGTACGGGGAGGGTTTCTTGTTCCTGACAGTACACAGTACATGAGACACTGAAAATTACTTTATATGAAGTGAATAGACGGGCCCGTTCCTGAGATCTCTTCCAGTCCTGACCAGTGATGCCACATTGGATGTTTTACATCCAGATTTAGATGTTTTTCTTGCATTTAGATGGCATTTTTTATGTTTAGATGGTAAATGTTTTTCTAGAAGTTTTCATTTGGAGTGAATTTATCAAATCTAACCTAAGAAACAGGATGAAATTTAACCTCTTAAATGCTATCTTGACAATAAAATTCGGCCTTATAAGAGTAGGAAAAGGCTGTTCCACTTATCAGCTCCCTGATTGGGTATTTAAATAAATTGGAACAGCTAAAGCATACCAGAGTCATTTTGGATCAGAAACTTCAACTTCATCATCCAAGCTAAGTGCATCCTATGGATCTTGTGAGGCGGACATCAGTGAAGATGAGGACATGATTCTATAGGGCAAGTCATATCACTTGCTATGTAATTTGTGACTCTATCCATTTGGATCTTTTTCTAGATGTTTCCCATGCAAATTAAGATGTTTTTAGATATTTTTTGACTACATTTTGGATGTTTTTTGTCAAAGAAAAGTGGCAACACTGGCCCTGACATCTCGGAGCATTCCAGGAGTAGCGAAAAGAAGAAGAGACGTACTGCCAGAAGAAAAAACCTGCCTGTATCCCATTGTCATTGTAGTTCATGGGGTCACTGGAGCATGCAAACTATTCTACCACTGAAGTTGTGGAGACATCGAAGGTTTCACCCCTATTTTACTGCTCCAGGCAGATTCCACTTTGATGTAATAGATGCATGGATCAAGAGAAGCTGTGTTAGCCTAGTTTTAACAGGACAGGTACAGTGTATGGTTGGGGGGATGTACTGCACACTTGCCCAGTATCTAGGGTAGATGTTAATAAATATCAGTCCTCAACACAAACATGATTCCCTCTGTCTGCAAACCATGGCCACCCACTCGCAGATGGTGACCACTACTGGAGTAAAGGAAGGCCGACCTAAACAAGAGCACCACAATAAGCCAGGTGCAAGTAACAAGTCAACAACCACAGTATGTATGACACAAGTTACATGGCCTATTGTAACCACTAACATAATATACAAGTAATGTAATACTACGATCTTATATTGTGATCAGTCTCTTTATTACGGATGAACACATTGCGACGAAGATGAATTAGTGATCAATGCCTAACTGTCTGCCTACCACTCCTGCCATGTACACCCACATTGTATGTCTCCAGAACATGGATAAAATACCCTAGTGAACTATGTACAAGATGGCTGCTACAGGTGACTCAAGTCCGATCATACAGATACACCCACTTGATCTGCTCTGATGGTTCTCCCTCTAAGAGACCCCATCACCCGAGGACCAAAGGTAAATGCAGCACCTGGAGAAAAGAATCCAGACCTTCTATCTGCTTCCCTGTCACTCATTGAAGTTTTACCTGTCAACCTACAGTTAACCAGCTTCCCAAATACCTTCCTACCACAACTCCACACAGACCAAAATACACAGTTACCCCAGCACCTTCTGTAGCATCTGGATACCGCGTCAACCAGCACGCTACATAGCTGCAACTATGCTGACCTGCACAAACCTGGGCTGCCATAAGTCTATTCTAGGAAATCACTCTGACAGCATTCCGATGTACATCTGATGATCCACCACATTCACTGGACAGATTGCGAAAACATCTTGTTAAAACGTCCACACGGGACATGAACAATTTGCGCACATGTCTACGCACATAGACAGACTGATCAAGGACTTGTCGACAAGCTACCTTGCTCTCCCGCCAATAGCGGTCAGCTACACATGGATCTCACATTTTCCATGCAACTCGGGAAGTTTGTGGTCACCTGTGAATATCAAGCAACCCCTGCTTCACGAGCTGCAAGTGGCTCAAATGTGGCCACTTATAACCCAACCCATGCGTCACAAAGCACTGGCCTGATTAACACTTTACACACCCCAGTGACTTCGGCCCACAACAACATGGGAACACAGTTCTGCAAAGGACCTGCTACAAGATGAAATCACCCATGTGACAACTTAAACTTGCCTCACCCCTTCATTTTTATTTTCAAGAGTGGAGTGGTGAGGTGGTTCATGCCCTATATATGCACAATCGAAACCTAATGAAATGAAGACGGACGCTCAACTCCAGCTCATTAATATTTTTATTTGTGTGTGTGTGATTAAAAACATATTCTTTGCTGAAGTTTACAACAAATTCTAATAAACAAATAACAAAAGTACATACACAAAAAACAGTCACATTCATTGGCCACTTTGTGAACTCTGAAGAAAGCCTAACATCAAAGTTCAAGTTAGTTGTGTTATCCTTTACAGGACATTACAAACCAACTCTAACATTTGTTTGTGGTTTGACTAGGCAATTTTATGTTTAGTAGTTTGCCACTGCTCTCTCTTGATCTTTTTCTTCCTAATGTTCACTCGCTGTAAAATCCTGTGGAAAGTTCTGGTTTTTTTTTCATTAAAGATACTAACTAAAACAATTTTTATAATGTGATTTTAACCAAATTTATTTAACTTTAAAAAGATTAATTAACAAAAACAATTTTTTTCTGAATGACTTCTTACTTTTAAGGACACAGTAAGATGCTAATATGTATGAAAATGAAATCCATGAGATGAACTTGACTCAGCTCTCAGAATAAATATTCTAAGGCACTATTGTATCGACCATGGCTTCATCGTTGACACCATTGTAGAGGAAGAAGTTGTTGAGTGGAGCACCTTTCTGGGAAACAGCCTGAAGTAAAAACATCAAACAAGGTTTATTTTTGCTAAAAGTCAGAATATTATACAAGAAATTTCTTCTTCTCCTTCGCATTCACTGGCTTTAAACTTCAGCAGAAAGTTCTTGTTGTTCGTCCATTTCTGGACTTGTCTTCTTCCAGAATTTGACTTCTGCATGCACATCTGTTTTACAAAAGTTGATTATTTGTATGCATACTATTGGTTAGGGGGCTGAATGGTCTCAAGGCATAGAGGTCCATGGTTCAAGCCCTGGTGAAGGCTTGGATTTTTTCACATGGACTTGTAGTAATTTCCCCTGGTTTCTGGGTAGTAAGATTGGACGCCCGTATGTATTGTTGCGCATATAAAAGATCTTTAGGCAGTTGGAAATCTAAAAAAAGTAGCCTAACGGCGCTGCCCGGGCAATATTTGGAGTTTAAAATCTACACAAAGTATTTCAGAATCCTCACCGGTGCAACAGAGTTCGTGCACTGAGCTGAGATTTTTTCAGACCCAGGCTTGAGTCAGAAGCAGAACGGAGCACTTCAGGGGTAGTGAGCATACATTAGACCTTTTCTCCAGGTAATGCCGGCGTGGTCGGGAATGAACAGGCAGACAGATTGGCTAGATCTGCACCAATGGGTGGTCAATTGATACATGACAAGGCAGATGTGGTCACAGTCCTCTGGGAACAAGTAACCAAGTCAGAAGAGAAACTAGATTATTATGGGCCGGCAGACTACGCTCAGAGAAAAGGCAAGACAGACACAGCCAGACTTCAAAAGACACAATTAGTATTGGAACTCTGCGCTGGCTGCTGAAGATGGGGACGGAGTGCTGTGATGTCAATTCTTGACTCAACTCAACAACTCTAAAATAAGACAGTTAAAGAAAATAAATCAACCAACAGTGTAATCAGGAAAGATGTGACCTCAAGAAGTGTTAACCAGTCTGAATATTGATATGAACCTCAGCGGAATAAACATTAGAAGTAAAGCAAAGGACCCTTTCCACGTCTTCAGGTGTATTAGGCATACACGACCGGACCTATATTTGATAGAACTGACACTCTGTGGGTTATGTGGTCAACATCACCAGTTCTTTTACCCCCAAAAACAGTCTGGCTTAGTTAGGATCTGAACACACGACTTTCAGATCCGCAGGCAAGTGTCTAGCCACTACACCATGGCGGCTCCCCATAAACAACAAAACCAAACTACATAATCTCACCGTAATGATTTCCTGTCCTAGAACACCTCCAACAATAGCACAAACAGGACTCAGCTCCCCAAAACCATATCTGTAAAAAAAAAAAATGTATATAATCAGATGTTAATACACAGACTGCTATGCGGTTGCGTTATTCCAAAAATAACAACAACAACAAATCACATGACAACTGTGGACACTCTGTTTTGTATGATGATTAATTAGTTATGGAAAAGAAAGGCAGCGGCTAATCAGCATGATGGTGGGTACAAGAGCTGGAGAGGGGTATGTTTTGTCAGGCGGGCTGCAATGAATGTAACAGGGATCCTTTTTCACGCCTTTAGTCAGCAGTCAGGAAATGATAAGGTCAGCATCACGCCGGCCACCTTTACTTCCCGGGATTTTACCTGGCACCATGAGTCAAGGTCATGGCTCCATTCGGATTTGAACCCACAATCTATGGATCCGCAGCAAGCATCTAGCCACTACAGCTCTGCAACGGAAGTGATGTTCTGCAAAGGACCTGCTACACAATGATATGACTGATGATATAAACATCGGCAAGCACTCACAGATAAAAATCCTCAGGAACCACTTTGGCAGGCACTCCCAGTTTGTTCAGGACTTGAATACGCAGATTCTGCAGTTCTTTTGTATCAGCTTCCAAAGTGAATGTTGATGGACGGCGGCCATGCTGCTGAAGGAACTCTTCATACACTGGAGAGAATTGACAAAACATGCACAATACAATTTTACTGCTTCCAGTGCTGAAGATGAACTTACACTGTGTATGTACCAATTTTTTTTTCTCTTTCAATCCCATATCGTTTTAGTGTAATTCTTTCTAACACAATTTTACTTTATTTTGAAGTAAGTTACGTATGGAAGGAATGAAAAACATGGATGTGGGACAGGATGATTTGCATTAATAATTAGGACAGAACAATTAACATAACAGAAGAATGGAGCAGGAGTAAAGTCATATGCAACACGCATATAGGTACTAGGATGCGCATGCTGCACTGCTTGGTATGAAAAGAGTTGGTGTATTTGGATATACATTCAATTATGTGATCAAATATCTGTAGTACACGGTTGACAAGATTAGCTATATGTCCTCTCAAGGATGTGCAAACCAACCAAGCATTTAATGGCTGTCTGTGGTTTTATGAAACAATTTCACATTTAGTTGTTAACATCCCAATCAGAACTCAGACCAGAAGCTTATCATGGATTTTCTGTCCACAACATGTGAGGTAACAAGCAGATTTTAGATCAAAATGGAAGTATAGATAATTTATTTCAAGCGAACAAAAGAAGAAGAAGAAGAATGGGAGTAGACCACAAGGCAGACTAAGCATCTTCCTCGGAATAGGGGCAGACCTCGTGGCAGACTAAGTGTCTTCCTCTGAATGGGAGTAGACCGTGAGGGCAGACTATCTTCCCCTGAATGGGAGCATACTGCGAGGCAGACTAAATAAATGTCTTCCTCTGAACGGGAGCAGACCGTGAGGCAGACTAAGTGTCCTCTGAATGGAAGCAGACCGTGAGGCAGATCTTCCTTTGAATGGGAGCATACCGTGAGGCAGACTAAATGTCTTCCTCTGAATGGAAGTAGACCGTGAGGCAGATCTTCCTTTGAATGGGAGCATACCGTGAGGCAGACTAAATGTCTTCCTCTGAATGGGAGCAGACCGCGAGGCAGACTATCTTCCCCTGAATGGGAGCAGACCGTGAGGCAGACTAAATGTCTTCCTCTGAATGGGAGCAGACCGTGAGGCAGACTAAATGTCTTCCTCTGAATGGGAGTAGATCGCGAGGAAGACTGTCTTCCTCTGAACGGGAGCAGACCGTGAGCAGACTGTCTTCCTCTGAACAGGAGTAGACCGCGAGGAAGACTAAATGTCTTCCCCTGAATGGGAGCAGACCGTGAGGCAGACTAAATAAATGTCTTCTCTGAATAGGAGTAGACCGCAAGGCAGACTGTCTTCCTCTGAACGGGAGCAGACCACGAGGCAGACTAAGTGTCCTCTGAATGGAAGTAGACCGTGAGGCAGACTAAATGTCTTCCTCTGAATGGGAGTAGATCGCGAGGAAGACTGTCTTCCTCTGAACGGGAGTAGACAGCGAGGCAGACTAAATGTCTTCCCCTGAATGGGAGCATACCGTGAGGCAGACTAAATGTCTTTCTCTGAATGGGAGTAGATCGCGAGGAAGACTGTCTTCCTCTGAACGGGAGCAGACCGTGAGCAGACTGTCTTCCTCTGAACAGGAGTAGACCGCGAGGAAGACTAAATGTCTTCCCCTGAATGGGAGCAGACCGTGAGGCAGACTAAATAAATGTCTTCTCTGAATAGGAGTAGACCGCAAGGCAGACTGTCTTCCTCTGAACGGGAGCAGACCACGAGGCAGACTAAGTGTCCTCTGAATGGAAGTAGACCGTGAGGCAGACTAAATGTCTTCCTCTGAATGGGAGTAGATCGCGAGGAAGACTGTCTTCCTCTGAACGGGAGTAGACAGCGAGGCAGACTAAATGTCTTCCCCTGAATGGGAGCATACCGTGAGGCAGACTAAATGTCTTTCTCTGAATGGGAGTAGATCGCGAGGAAGACTGTCTTCCTCTGAATGGGAGTAGACCGTGAGGCAGACTGTCTTCCTCTTAACGGGAGTAGACCGCGAGGAAGACTAAATGTCTTCCCCTGAATGGGAGCAGACCGCGAGGCAGACTAAATAAATGTCTTCTCTGAATAGGAGTAGACCGCAAGGCAGACTGTCTTCCTCTGAACGGGAGTAGACAGCGAGGCAGACTAAATGTCTTCCCCTGAATGGGAGCAGACCGCGAGGCAGACTAAATAAATGTCTTCCTCTGAATGGGAGTAGACAACAAGGCAGACTGTCTTCCTCTGAATGGAAGTAGACTGCGAGGCAGACTGTCTTCCTCTGAATGGGAGTAGACAGCGAGGCAGACTGTCTTCCTCTGAATGGGAGTAGACCGCGAGGCAGGCTGTCTTCCTCTGAATGGGAGTAGACCGCGAGGTAGACCAGTAAGACAGTTGAGAATTAACATACAGGTAAACCGACAAACACTTGGGAGTCAGCAAATGAAAAGAGAGGGCCAGTCACAAAGAATGGAGACAGGTGATGTATGCAGCAATGAACCTCAAGTATTCTGAATGCTGAAAAAGAAGAAGCAGGTCTGTCTCTTCCCAATGCTACTACTTTCTATAAGTGCTAATCACGACAATTTTGTTATTATAATACCCTACAGGTAAACAACAATAATAATAACAGAATGCTGAAGATACCTGTATATTAATTCCATACAACAGAACAGCACATAACAGACTAGAATATAAGGCTACTGCTGTGACTGCTACCTTTTGTGATGAAAAATGATGTTGGCGTCTGCCGGATTTTTCGCTTCATCTCTGGGGTATCAGCTGACCAATCAAAAGTCAGTGCATCTTCCAGCCGTCCAAAGACCATTTGCTATGAATATAAAAATAAACGTTTTTTTAAAATAAAGTAATAATACAGAGATCAACAGCAGAACTCAAGATGCAATGTTAGATAACAATCAGTATTTTAACAATTTTTTTACAAACAAATCTGATAGGCTATGTTAGATAATTACAAGTATTTATAAACAACAATTTACCAACAAATGTGGCAGGCTATGTTAGATAATAGTAGGTGTAATAATTTTTTGGTGCTTTGTTTATATTCTACCCCAAACAGGGGAAATCCGCAGGTCGCGGGACAGTCTACTATTTTAGCGGGTGGTAGATAGGCTAGATGCAGTCATGGGACCTAGTGGAACATAGGTGGCTTGGAGTTAGGGCCAGTTCTAGATGTTTCGGGGTCATTTAAAGCATCAGAAAGCCAGGAAACGTAGACTAGTCTTACCACCCTGTAAAATATTGGACTGTCCTGTGACGTCATCTGGAGTAGAAAATTAAGAAAAGTACCTAATTTTTTTTTTTTTACCATCAAATCTGAAAGGCTAAAGTAGATAATTCTAAGTGCTTTAACAATTTTTACCAACAAAGTGAAAAGCAATAGTAAATTATTGAAAGTGTTCATATGATTTTTCACCAACAAACTTGAGTTTGATAATTACAAATATTTGTAACAATTTGTTTTACCAAAAATCTTGAGAGGCTATATTAGATTATTATAATAAATCAGTATTTCCAAGATTTCACTTACAATCTTCAGAGGCTATGTTAGAATATTATAAGTATTTGTAACAATATTTTACCAACAATCTTAATCGACTACATTAGATTATTATAATAAATCAGTATTTCCAAGATTTCACTCACAAACTTCAGAGGCTATGTTAGAATATTATAAGTATATGTAACAATATTTCACCAACAATCTTAAGCGACTACATTAGATTATTATAGTATATGTAACAATATTTTACCAACAATCTTAATCGACTACATTAGATTTTTATAGTATATGTAACAATATTTTACCAACAATCTTAATCGACTACATTAGATTATTATAGTATATGTAACAATATTTTACCAACAATCTTAATCGACTACATTAGATTATTATAGTATATGTAACAATATTTTACCAACAATCTTAATCGACTACATTAGATTATTATAGTATATGTAACAATATTTTACCAACAATCTTTGGCGACTACATTAGATTATTATAAGTATATGGAACAACATTCTACCAGGAATCGTAAGATTAATATAAGTATTTCAAAAATTTCACTTACAAACTACAGAGGTAATATTACACTAAAAGTATTTCTACAATTTTACTCACAAAACATAAGAGGCTGTGCTAGATAATTATGTGTATTTATAACAATTTGTATGAACAAACTTGAGAGGCTGTAAGATTACAATCACTTATACAAATTTCTATGAATACATTTTACAGGATTAGATACTAAGTGTTTCAGGACTATTTTCACTAATAAAGATGGCAGGCTCAAAGAATTTTTGTCTTTTTATTTTTCACTAATAAAGATGGCAGGCTCAAAGAATTTTTGTCTTTTTAATAGCCGCTGCCATATTGGAAGTCGCACATGACAATTGATCTGGCAGGCAAGAATATTGTTAGCCCCTGCAATTCCATGGCTCACAACTATGAAAAGTTATCAAGTACGGATTTAATAGGCTGGATAATTTCCAGAAGTTTCAAGGTTCTGGAGTGAAAGGGCTACACTGGATAAAAGGAGACAGAGACTTTAAACAAAGACTTAAACAGCTGTAGAATCAGAAGCAGATGACACAGTTGCCTACCTCTTTAGTGATAACAACCTCTTCTGATGCCTTTGACTTTTCTTCATCCTCTTTTGACTTATTTTCTTCTTTACCTTTTGCTGGTGCCTTTTTAACCTCTCTGTAAACAAATTATATATAAACATACTTATTTATATATATTTTGTTCACTCACACACATATACATATAAACTACATATACAAAGTAAATATAAGTTAGTTGCGTATCCTTTACAGGACGTTGCAGAACCAACCCTAACAGCCCCTGGCTGTTGTGGGGTTTCTCTTGGTAAATTTATGTCCAGTAGTTTGCCATTGCTTTCTGGACGGTCAGCTTTCTTGATACCACTGTCGGAACCAACGCAATGCGCAGCTGGGATCGAACCCGGCATCACGAAGCGAAGCGTTCGCATCGACTTAGCCACAGAGCCAACCAAAGTAAACATAGCAATCCATGATTTTGTTAACTGTTCACACATTTCTTATGCTGACCAATTATCTGGTCTTTATAGGCTGATCACCACTTTATGGGTAATTTGGTTAGTATCATACCAGCCACGTTTACTTCCCAGGACCACGAGGCAGACAAAGAAGAAGACGGAGAGATAATATCTAGACAGATCTATAAACATCTGATGTCACCAACTGGAAAGAGAAAGCCAGCCATATGAATAAATGGAGGTGGGTGATATCTGCAGCAATAAACCTCAAGGGCTTGGAATGCTGAAGAATAATAAAAAGAGGAGAAGCTCTACAAAAGTATGATGGGGCTATGATTGTGGTGGCCAAAAGAGCAAGAAACAGAACCTGTTATCTTCCTTGACATAAAAAAGCGGTAAAAGAGGAAGTGAAGAAGAATAAGGATCATCATCAATTGGCAAGTCGTTTACAGAACGTCGTTCTCTTCACAGCATGCCTGAAAGTATCCCTTTCCCTAGCCAGCTCTCCGGCCCCATGTACTTTCAATGCAAATGCATCTTCAATGTCTTGTATCCATCTTCGTGGTGGTTGACCCCTGCCTGCACCTTCCATCACTGTCTTTTCCAAGCCACCATGACGCTTAATGTGGCCAAAATACTTTAACTTTTGGGACAGGGTGCTCTTTATGAGACAGTTCTCCCTGATGTTTCAACTCGTTCAGAATGTCGATGTTTTTCCTCTTCTTGATCCATGGTATTCTAAGAATTGTTCTATAACATTTCAACTCAAAAGCTCCAATCTTTTTCTTCAGTGACTGAGTGAGAGTAAAATAAGGATAGACATCACACACAAAAAGTGTCTATGCTCAAAAGTGTAGGAGCAAGAACCTTGTGCCTTGCACGATAACTAAATTGGTATCACAAGAAGCGAAGAAGAAGATCCACAATTGAAGTAATAAATTGCTTGTGTGGGTCCTGGGAATACAAGAATAGACCCACTGCCTACTCAAACAAGCATGACCTAAGAGTCAACTAATCAGGAGCTTCCTTTGAAGTCGGAGTGCATCTGCTCAAGCAGCAAGGAAAAACCAACTGCACACAAATAAGCCAGTAAAACAGTTATACAAAGTCAAAGCCCAAATAGACGAACAACCAGGACTTTCCGCCGGAACTTACAGCCGGTGAACGAAGAAGAAGAAGAAGTTATGAATAGAGAACAGAAGTAAAGAGGGATCAGGGAATGGAATATGGTGAGTACTTGATGGAGATTCAAACATACAAGCTCTGGACAGACAGAAAAGCACCACTAAAAAACTGTGCCTCCTTAGTAAAGGTATAATAATCTACATTAAGTAGGCATCCACAGTTTAAGTTTTGAACAAGCAAAGTAAATCAACATGGGGAGCGAGCGTAGGAGAGCCGCATGTGAGTTCCGAAGCCCCAGATTTGGGGGAACACAATAACAGGCAACCACTCCTAAGCAAGCATGTCGTAAAAGGAGATAATTAAGGGCTTGCCAAAATCAGATGTAGTGAGCCAAAAGGTGCAGATATCACAGCCTAGCTGCAAACCACAAAATAATCCAACTACCATTTTAACTCTTTAAATCCCAAGCAACACCTGATGTGTGAATGACTCTACTCCTTGAACTCCCCCCAGAGCATTATGTGCACTCTTACTTTTAACATCTGGTCACACCACATTTAAGAAATCTGGCTTTTTTAATGGTCACTATTAGTAGGTATACTGCCATTTTGAAAGTAATGCATTTATGATTTTTGATCATGATTATTTCCTCACTTTGACATCTCCTGCAAGACCTTCTGGTAGTGAAAGAGTTTATGGCAAATGAAGACGAAAGAGAAGAGGCTGAGTACTTACTGGTGCAGGTAATCATGTGTTCCCAGTTCTGGTAGTGAAAGAGTTAACGGTAAATGAAGGTGAAGGAGAAAAGGTTGAGTACTTACTGGTGCAGGTAATCATGTGTTCCCAGTTCTGGTAGTGAAAGAGTTAACGGTAAATGAAGGTGAAGGAGAAGAGGCTGAGTACTTACTGGTGCAGGTAATCATGTGTTCCCAGTTCTGGTAGTGAAAGAGTTAACGGTAAATGAAGGTGAAGGAGAAAAGGCTGAGTACTTACTGGTGCAGGTAATCATGTGTTCCCAGTTCTGGTAGTGAAAGAGTTAACGGTAAATGAAGGTGAAGGAGAAGAGGTTGAGTACTTACTCGTGCAGGTAATCATGTGTTCCCAGATCAGTAAATGTGAAGCCATAGAAGCCGAAGACGTCTCCGGAGAAGAACTTGATGTTGTGCTGAAAGCACAATTTATCTAGTTTTGTCTGCAGGGATGGGGGGCAGCACGTGGCACAGATGACGTCAAACTGTGTGAAATAGTTCTCATCTTTCTCATCAGGGTTGCCTGTGTCTGTTGTCACAGTGACCATGGGGTTGAGAAGTTGAGCCTGAGGGGCGGATGCTTCAGCTCTCTGGGGAAAAAAAGTGATGTCAATTGTGAGTTTGGGCAATACAAATGGACTCTTGGTCTGTAAAAGGAGTATGCATTTATGGGATGATTGCTGTGTGTCTACAAACAGTTTATGCTTGGGGAATGTCAGAATATGGGATTATATAAGCTAAATTACCTGCTCGGGAATGTAATATAGGATTTATGCTATATGTGAGTCTATAAATAGAATTATTTGCTTGGGGAATGTCGTAATATGGGATGTTAGTTGCATGTAACAGAGCAAGTGCTTGGGGATTTTGTGTTTTGAGATACATCCTGTATTTTTTTACTAGAAAATGGCAGGTGCCCACAACCACAAAGGTACACACAAGGATATTAAATATGTCTGGGCATTAAAATACATTAAGTAGTAAAACTGGAAAAGGTGAAACATTTCTTTTGCAGGCTGTGATGTGAATAATGCCATAGACCAAGAGGAGGAAAAGAGTCAACATCCTATATGATTTGAACATCAAAGAGAACAGGCTCAAAAACAGCATTCTGTCACAAAACCTGCAGTATTTAGGCCATGTGGATACAAGACAGGATGCACTGGCCATGAAAGCACACAGGGCTGGAGAAGTGGCTAGAGAAATGGAAACTTTTCAGGTGCACTGTGATAAGGGAAATGTTTTGTTTAAAAATAAAATAAACTGTTTATCAAAGATGAAGGGTGAGCCATGGTGGGTCAGTAGCTATCATGTTCGCCATCTGACTTATTAGTAATGGGTTTAAATAGGCCCCCCCCCCCCTTTTTTTTAAACTGACATGAGACATAAATATTAATCAGTAAATGCTCTGGAAAGCAAAGGCAGCTACATAGTGACCACACCACACAACAAAAGACTACTGACCTAGGAAATATAGAGCTGCACAACAATCACTAATCAATCACTAACAATCAAAACAATTACTAATAAAGTACAAACATTCTTTAACTGGTGCCTGTGTAGAATATCTGGAAATCCAACAATTACTGCAGAGGAACGAAACTCCGACTCTACAAGAGCATCATTTTGCCAGTTCTTCTTTATGGAGCGGAATGCTGGAGAATGACCAAAAAGGATGCACACAAGCTGTCCATCTTCCACCACACATGTCTACGTAAAATTATCAAAATTTTCTGGCCAGATACAATCTCAAACACTAAACTACTTCAAGCCAGAAACCAAGAAACTTTAGACAGTATGATTACCAAGAGAAGATGGAAATGGCTTGGCCACGTTATGAGAATGAATCCTGATATATCTGCCAAAACAGCTCTCACATGGACACCAGAGGGAAAGAGAAAACAGGGGCGCCCAAAAACAACATGGGGACGAACGATGGAAAGTGACCTGAGTGCGGCATCTTTGACATGGAAAACTGCCCTGAAGATTGCACAGGACAGGAAAGCATGGAAAGTCCTCTCTGAAGCCTCATGTGCCACTAGGCGTAACGAGAACTGATGATGATGATGTGTAGAATAGAGGGAATTAAATGGTATGACAGATTCACTAATGTTGAGCTTCGGAAGAGAACTGAACAAACTTCAGTTAGTCAACAGGTGAAGAAGAGATGCTCGCACTGGACAGAACACGCATTGAGAAAACCTGAGAACAAAATACAGCTAGAATGTCTTTGCACTGGAATGCACAGGAGGGCAGATATAAAGGCAGGCAGACACAAAAAACAAAAACAAAACATGCAGAAGAGAGCTAGAGAGTGAAGTTAAAAAGATGGAGAGGAGAGGGGCATGCATGCAACAGCAAAGTATACGACTTGGCGTGAGTTGACCGAGGGCCTATGCTCCGCTGGGGAATAAAGGACTTATAATGATGATCAATCAAATGATAAGTTAAATTATGATCTTACATTCTGTCCAATAGCTGCACCTGACACAAAAAACTGTGACATTCTGTCTTCTTCATCCACCTGGTCAAAGAAGACAAACACCATTAGCAACAATGTATTGAATGCAAAAGTGAATTACTGATCAAAGTCACGGGGAGACAAATATTCTGGTCACATAACAATAAGATTATCAGAAATGATTGGCAGTGGACAAGACACAATGCTGTGTGTGGTCAAACATGATGACCAATGGCACCTGACGATGAGTACAAGAACAAGACATATCTAGTATCCATTTCTGCCATACATACTTTTGTATTTTTACTTGCTCTTAATTAATATTATATATAGTGCTGTACTAACACACTATGTTTCTATATGGAGTCCGACTGTCGTGTGAGAGAGGAATGCTTGAAAGGACGAGATGTAAGATGGGCCTGTGTGCACAATTTATAAACCTTTGAAAATAATGTTTGTTTGTTGGTTCTATCAGGAATAAATAGTTGAGGCTATACCAAAGATGTGGTACACATCAAAGTCTTTGTTTGTTGGTTCTATCAGGAATAAACAGTTGAGGCTATACCAAATATGTGGCACGCATCAAAGTCTTTGTTTGTTGGTTTTCTTAGGAATAAACAGTTGAGGCTATACCAAAAATGTGGTACGCATCAAAGTCTGTTTGTTGGTCCTATCAGGAATAAATAGTTGAGGCTTTACTAAAGATATGGTATGCATCAAAGTTTTTGTTGGTTCTATCAGGAATAAACAGTTGAGGCTAGGCCAAAGATGTGGTACGCATCAAAGTCTTTGTTTGTTTGCTCTATCAGGAATAAATAGCTGAGGCTATACCAAAGATGTGGCAGGCATCAGAGTTATGGCACTGACCTCTGACTTAAACAGGCCTGGTATAATTAAGTGTGTGGTACATATGGAATTTAAGAAATGAAAAAAGAGAATATCTGATGGTATACTCCCTGAGATCTTGGGGTATTGGACTGGACTTCTAGTGTTCTTGGATAAAGATGTAAAAATAGTAGGTCACGTGAGTGGATTAATCAGGTAACTTCTGAGACTGAACCAGACACCAAAATCTTCCAGCCATGTACCCCCAGTTAGACTGTATCAGATGTGAAGAACAGAAAGAATTAGGTATGGCTGCCTTACATCATGGATAGACAGCACATTTGTCTTTTATGAAAAAGCACAAGATAGAGAGAGCTGGGAACACATGACTGCTTCCAGCAGTCATCCAGGTATTTCTTTCCTTCTTTCTTTCTGCCCCTTCATCCCACAACAAAAAATAAGCCATGAACATTTCGATTCTGCCCTTTATTTACCAATGGAGCCAGGCCCTTATCCAACTTGTTGTAAACCTTCCCAAGCTTTACCTTCTCATGCAACTTGCTCCATGTCCTCACATTCTAGGCCCCGGTTCAGGAGACGTGCCACAGTGAGAAGTGGTATACTGATAAACCAGCCTCCTTTCTGCTTGTTTTGTATCGCTTTACAAATCTTTTAATAAACACGTCTCCCTCTATCTTCTTCTTGCAGTCCATGCAAAATTGTGCTGGTAATTGTGTCTATCCGCAACCGTCTGTATTATGTACTTTCAATCATTTCTAAGAATGACGTTCCATGCCATGATGTTAAACAGTCCAGCATCTTTTACTCGGTCTTTCCCTGCTTCTTTTTTCCTCCAACTTTCTCATCATCATGATTACTCCAGTTTTCTCCTTCTCGTGATATGAGCAAAGAATGTAGATTGTCTCCTCCTGATGTAGACAATCAGTTCTCTTTGTGAGTCAGTTTATTTCAAAACATCTTCACTACTCGTTTAACCTAAATTAAATCTTACTTGACTGAATTCATAAAAGTCAACTAATTAGGGATGTATCCTTCAAAGTCAGAATGCATCTGCCTGACCTATGAGGAACCAAATGTCTGCACACAAATAAATAAGATCTGTAAAACGGATGTGCACACAGAATAAGACTACTGGCCTGACGTGGACAAATAACCAGAACATTTCCGTTAAAGTTTACAGCCGGTGAACATAAACAAGAAGAAGAATCCATTTGTATTAGTTTATTGTATATGCTTCACCTAAGGGCCCGGGTACACACAGACATCAGCCAGAGTATGTAAGTTGTCAGAGAAGAGTGTCTCTATTCTTGTTTCCCCAAAGTGAGGCCCCTGTGTGTCAGAGAACAGTGTCTCTATTCTTCTTTCCCCAAAGTGAAGCTCCTGTGTGTCAGGGAACAATGTCTCTATTCTTCTTTCCCCAAAGTGAGGTCCCTGTGTGTCAGAGAACAGTGTCTCTATTCGTGTTTACCCAAAGTGAGGTCCCTGTGTGTCAGAGAAGAGTGTCTCTATTCGTGTTTACCCAAAGTGAGGTCCCTGTGTGTCAGAGAAGAGTGTCTCTATTCGTGTTTACCCAAAGTGAGGCCCCTGTGTGTCAGAGAACATTGTCTATTCTTGTTTCCCCAAAGTGAGGCCCCTGTGTGTCAGAGAACAGTGTCTATTCTTGTTTCCCCAAAGTGAGGCCCCTGTGTGTCAGAGAACAGTGTCTATTCTTGTTTCCCCAAAGTGAAGCTCCTGTGTGTCTCTATTCTTCTTTCACCAAAGTGAGGCACCTATGTGTCACAGAACAGTGTCTATTCTTGTTTCCCCGAAGCAAGGCCTCTTTACTGACATGGAAAAATAATTAAAATACTACATGTGAGAAGAAAATACTCACAGGGTTGTGGTCCATCAGCGTGACTGCCTTCACCCCGGACAGAATAATGTTTTTAGCAACTTCCGCTCCCAGCCCCTTCAAGCCAATGATAAGAACAGTAGCAGCTCGCAACCTGGCAAACAGAAATTAACTTCAACGTTACTGACAAAACAGAGCCTTATTTCAACTGGCTACCTGAATGACTTGGCTGCAGTGGTTTGCTATTTTCTGTCCACGGCTCCGAGGACCAACTACATTTGTTTGTCGGGCATATAGTCCTGACTTAAATTTTTTAGACCAATCGACACTCAACAGGTGATGTGGCCAACATCCCGCCAGCCACCTTTACTTGCCAGGACATTAGCTGGTGCCGATTGTAGGTAGGATGACCTGGGAGTTGAAGTCAATTTAAAACAAAACAAAAAATCTGTCTTGGATCAAATTGGGTTTGACCTCTAGGCTGGCAGGCGAGCATCTAGCAAATATGCTACGGTAGCTAAACTCCACTGAGATAGATTTTAAAGCTTAACCTCAGCTCCCTGATCAATCCAGCTTAAAACAGGAAGCAGGAAGTGTCCTTGGATATAAAAGAGCCTGATAATAACTTAATGGTATTGACAGCATCACCTATCAAAAGCTAAATCTTTTTCTTTTTCACAGACTGTAAACTGCAGCAGAAAGTTCTGGTTGTTTACCCCCCTCTGGATTTTAGTCCTGTTCCAGAACCTGAGTGTTGCATACACATCCACTTTATAGATATGACTAGTACGTATCATTAACTTGTCCACATCTCGCTTTAACGCAAAACTTCGTATTGGCTCCCATTCATGCGCGGCCGTTCCCACGGGCTGTTCTATGTTCTAGGGGTATCATGTTGTGTTATTTTCAATGCTGTAAGTATTCTATATTCAATGCTGTGAGAGGTCAGCATGTTTTGTTTTCCACGTTGTCAGCGGCCGGCACTGTGTGTGTTACAGAGTTGTGCGCTGGCTCCTTATCGCTATCACTGCGACCTTATTGGGTGACTTGAACTACAAGATGAATTTCCTTCAACTGTGATCATTGGCGAGTGGCAAGCAGAGTAGTGTTGCTTTTTCTGCAACAATACAGCACTTTGCTTTCAGCCAGACGCTGTTCCAAGAATCATCTCATGGTTCCGTCGCTGACCCCCCACCCCCTCCAGACAGCTTTTTTCAGGGCCTGCCACAAAATGCCACCAATTCCTAGACCAGTGACTGTTGCGGGAGAGATAGAGCTGACAGAGAACAGGAAACTAGCCCAAACACAAACAATGTCGACTGCCACGAAAGAGAGCTGCGCACAATTTTGTGCGGGGCCTCGAACGAACAAAAGCTGGTTTTGCCAACTATGTGTACAGAAGTTAAAGGGGAAGGAAGGCATATGCTGACACCCCTAGAATAGGACAGCAGATGGGAACGGCCATGGCATGAGTGGCAGCTGAAATAAAATCTTGCACTGGTGTGAGAAGTGGGCAAATTTGTGCAACGTACCATATGACTTTTTAAATTCAGACTGTTGCCTCTTAGGCAGATGCACTCTGACTTTGAAGGAAGCCCCCAATGAGTCGACTCTTACGACATTCATGTTAGAGAGGCCATTCTTGTCCTTCTGGCAATGTGGCCTCAGAACTCACAAGCAGGAAAACCAAATGATCTATGAATAAAATATATGCCTAAACACCAAATGCCTGACAAGTTGAAAAGGCATAGAACTGGGAACTTATTGTTTACATTACTTCAAAAAAATTACTATAATACGATTTAGATTCAGTACTAAACTGACTATTTAATTAGTAAATTAAATTGTTTACAGTTAAATATAAACTAAATAAAAACGCATCTTTTGTACCCCAACCATCTGACATGGATCTTAAACACTCTAACAGAACCCAAGGCATAGGTAAAAAAAAAAAATGACTGTACCCAACAGGTAAATTTATCCTTACTGCTACATTCTTTTTCTTCGCGCTCATCAGCTGTAAAACTCAAGCGAAAAGTTCTTGTTGTTCGTCCATGTGAGGACATTAGTGATTAGTCTTGTTCCAGAATTTGAGTTTTGACTGCTTAGAATGTTGGGCTATCCTCCGAATAATGGCCACATATTATGGCCGCCAAAAACACATCCTGACAGGGCCTTAATCACAGGTAAATTGCGGACTTCCTCCGACGAACACATCGCGGCAAAACTAGGATTACTGTCCATTGACAATTTCGAGAAATGGAAAAATACACATGAAAATAGCGACATGGTGGGGAGACCACGTGCTCCGACGCAGGTCAGCAATAGTGTTCTTCCGATTAAACTCACCGTCAAGCGTATCCCCCGCGCCGCTACACGTGGTGCTGATGGGGGGCTAAACTAGATGGCTGGGACTCACGAGCAGCAGCTACCTCATCTCCTGCTTTTTCCTCCAATTTATTTGTTCGTGAGTCCTAGCCATCTAGTTTAGCCCCCTATCCACGCTGCGCGTAGCGGCGCAAGAGATACTCTCAGCGGTGAAAACTGCGTTATCAATGCGAAACCGATCATATTTAGCAGAGTTTGAACGGCGCCACAGCAACAAAGAGCAGATTTTCGGGCACTATTTGCAACTTCTGTGCCACTATTTTCAGATATAAAGGCCTCAATTATCGCTAAGTAGTCGATTTCGTCATTTTCACTTTTTTTTTTTTTGTTCCTTATTATTTAGAGTTCAAGTTTTTGAATGTTTACAACACACAAACTAGTGAGGCCCTGTCAGGGTGTGTTTTTGGCCGCCATAATATGTGGCCGTTATTCGGAGGGTAGCCGAATATTGAATTAAGAATCGACATCACAGCACCCGGGACACTCATATAAGTGCTCCGTCCCCCATTTTCAGCAGCAAGCGAATAGTTCCAATTCCGATGGCACCAGTAACCAACTGATTATATATCCGTCTCATCCTTCTCTTGAGTGTTAAGTGTAGGCCAGATCCCCTGGTAACTCCTCGCAGCGCCATTCTCCCCAGACCGTAAATAAGAAATGATCTCGTTCCCAAAGGGCCCTCACAATATCCAACATGTTGACTGTTTGGTTACCGAGTTAGCAACTAAATCGGCTGACGGCTCCTGAAATTGAGTTCTATTTAAATGTAACTGGACTTTACTGCATGAATTGCCAGCAGATCAGTGGCAGCAGTCACCGCGGGAGAGTCACTCAGTCAGCAGACGTGATGGATCCAAACCTAAAAATGTTAGTTTTTGCTGTCATAACTGTAACTAACGTACCTTCTTTGTGCATCAAGCCCCCACAGACGTATCTGTCTGTCATATAATGCAGCTTCATCTTCAGTGATATCTTCCATCTGGAATCAAATGTTATCTTTTGATAACCGGCGTCAGTCAACAATGTGAGATTCTAACCAAGCGGGTTCTCTCCTGGAAGCACTCTTCTGTTTCTGAAATACAATAATACCGCTTCCTTTGTAACATTTCTCCTTATCAACGTTCACCGTCTGTAAACTCTGGGGGAAAGTTCTGGTTGTTCGTCCACTTCTGGACTTCAGTCTTGTTCTAGAGCTTTGAATTTTCCTCAGATTACCAAAATGATTAGTTTTTTGTAATGTTTATCCATTACATTGAAATGTTTATTCTTATGATATAGGTTCAACCTGTCCATGTAGTTTCGTTGATCTTTTACCTTCGCATGACACAATCAATCAGTTAGTCAGTTGCCGTCTTCACAATGAAGGTTGGCCATAGTATATCTCCAAAACTCTGTGCCTTGCATTCACTTTGTATATGCTCTTAGACGGATGTATGCCCATCTCTTGATGTTATCCTCCCAAACACTCAAAATTTTAAACTGTAAATGGTGGTCCAAAGGACGTTCGCTCTCCTACGAAATACGCCTGGCCAAATCAAAGGGAGATTAAACCAAGAGGAAACAACAATAAAGAGAAGGAAAGACATGCACAGCTAACAACAGGGTGGAGGACGAGCGGTCTGACTCGAAAGGAAGCATTAAGCCCAGAAACGGCTCAAAAACTAGAATTTAGTCACGAAAGTGACGAAAATAACCCAGATCACAAATATAGGCAGAGACTGTTAGCAGCCTCGGTCGAACTTTTTTTTTTTTTCAAAAGGAATCAGGAATTACGCGCAGTGGACTTCTGTAATGGCTCAATCCACTGCCTTCGCACAGAACCTACCTGGATTTTTTTCAGATCATGCTCATGAAACCGCTAAGTACACACGCACGGGTATAGTCTTGTATTCTTAGCCACACACACACACACACACACACACACACACACACACACACACACACATATATATATATATATATATATATATATATATATATATATATATATATATACATTCATAGTGGGGGGCATCTGTAGCCTAAAAATTGCGATTGGGGCGTGTCTCTCCCCCCCCCCCCGCAGAATTTTTCAAGAAGCTCAGGCAACCTGATCCCCCCCCCCCACCCACCAGTTTGCACCCACTCCTTAGTTTCCAGGGCCTATGAGCATCCTGAATAAAAAAAGAGGTAAGGCATTAACAGAAAATCACAAAACAGGTACTAAAATGGGAAATAAAAGGATTATGATGACAACCAAACGAAACCCTAAAAGGAAAGTTGATGCGAGAGGCCAAAGGTGTTAGACTTTCCATCGATGATATTCAATTGATTGCACAGAATAGAACGGAATGGTGGATGTGACATATACAGGCACAAAAGGACTCGTCTTCTTTTTCGTTCATCGGCTGTAAGCTCTGGCGAAAAGTCTTGGTTGTTCGTCCATTGGGACTTCAGTTTTACGCTTGTGTTCAGTCTGCTGAGAAGTTATCGACCCGACTGCTAAGTCGAGATACCAGCTAAGTGATTTTGTGTATTTTTGTGGTGTTGTTTGATTTGTGTATGTGCTGATGAAGGCTCCATAGCCGTAACGTTCATATTGTGTTTGTATTTGTTATATTGTGAAGCTTGCCAATATACTTTTTGTTCGATTTTACTTGTACATCCTTTTTTACTGGCTTGCCTGTGTGCAGTTGGTTGTTACTGGCCGCTCGGACAGATGCATCCCCGACTTCGAAGGAAACCCCTAGTTAGTCTACTTCTACGACATGCTTACTGAGGGAAGGCATTGGGGGCTATTCTTTTTTTTTTCCGCCTGGAACCCACACGGAGAGTAAAACAACTCTCTTGAGGAGCTCTCCTGTAATGGAAATCTATTCTTGTCCTTGTTTGTTTCCGGTAACCAACGCTCAGTCTGTCTGCACGGTTCCGTGTTTTCAATTCTCATGTCAGCGGTCTAGTCTATGTGAGTTGCAGGTATCGTAAGTAACACTACTTAATTTACGGTTTATTAATGCTGCATTAAAATGTATAGTTAAAAGAGCCACGCAAATAAGTGTTTAGTCTTTCCGTCGTACATTTGTTTATTTATATGTTGCTTTTCTTGTCCGTTTGCAGTACTGGTGAGTTCGTGCACTGCACTGCTGCGCTGAGATTCTTCAAGACTCAGGCTTGGGCTCTCCTCCGAACGGCGTCATAATATTATGGCGACCATAAAATATCCGAACGGGGCTCAGGCATATCTAAAATACGGACTTTCTGCCAAGGAACAAACAAATCGCAGCAAAACTAGATTACTAGACAATATCAACATTGCACACGGTAGTAGCAGACGATACCGTCCGTTGACAATTTCGAGCGTTTCTGCAGACGATATTAGCGACCGTTGACAATTTCAAGACATTACAGACGATGAAAGCAATATAGCGGGTAGACCACGCGCTCCCACGTAGATTAGCAATACTGTCCGTCCGTTAGCAGCGGTAGATGTCAGACCTGCCGACCTGTATTCTCACACTTTTCGGCATGTGCAAAACGCGATTAAACTTACCGCCGAGCGCATTCCCCACGCCGCGCATAGCGGCACTGATGGGGGGGCTAAACTAGGTGCCTGGGACTCACGAGCAAATTAGTTGGAGAAAGTTGCAGGAGATGCGGTAGCTGCTGCTCGTGAGTCCCAGCCATCTAGTTAAGCCCCCATCCACGCCGCACGTAGCGGCGCGGGGGATACGGTTGGCGATGAGGCACAGTCACAGAAACAGATCCGCAAGTAACATATCGCTGAGACCCTGTTAGAGCATTTGTTTTGTTATAAGGAGCCGGCATATTTTTAATACAACTGAGCCCCATTCGGATATTTTTGGATATTTTATGGCCGTCATAATGTTATGACGCCGTTCAGAGGAGAGCCCAGGCTTGAGTTAAGTAGAACGGAGCACTTATGGGTTACTACCCTTGTGCCATGATGATGATCCGTTGTATAAACCAAACAGTCAAACCGTGTCTGATGAGTCTGTCCACAACATTATGTCTGTACTATGTGTACTACTCAGAGTAATCTACTTGATAATCTACTCTCTAGTAATCTGGCGAAGTCTCTGTGAGTTCTGTCTTCCGTGTTCACCGGACCGTGACACCCTATATTAATAGTATTCGTCAATGACTGAAATTATATTCTCCATGCATCCCTAAGCTTTTCTCTATTTTTCTTTCATATGGCATTCTAAAAATTATACTAACTGTCAGTATCACCTTCCAACCTTCATTCCCACTTTATGCTCAGTGCCAAACAGCAGACTACAGGAATGGAAAATAACTACCTGTGAAATATGCGTCCTGGAAAATCACAACCAATACAATGAATACAAGAATACCAGCATTGTTGAAATAGTTGGAACAAGACTGTTCTTAATTACTGGGAAGACAGAATGAAGGGGTTTGGCTAGGTAGTAAGAATACAGCCAAACTAAACTGTATATGCGATTTTCTGCAGCAGAACATCTAGACAGAAGGTGAAAAGAAGAGATTGACCGACAGTGTACTTTAATACTGCAATAATAAGTACAAATCCGTCATTCATGCCAGTTCGACAAATAATGAAAACCATGACACTGGGCTTCAACCTGGTAATAGTGTGATGAAAAAAGATAACCAGATTTTTTCAGCATAAGTCATATCCTTCTTCTTTCATTCGCTTGAAATAGATTATCTATTTGGAATACTATCTCTAGTATGATCTTCACTGTCTTTTGTAATTCTCTCAATGACCCATAAAGTTTCTCTTCACTGGTGTTTGTCTTGGCCATAAGTTTTGCCTTGATATGTTGTATTTGGGACTGTCTTGATGGGTTATCTGTTGTCTCAGGGACCAATCCATATGTGCACATGGCTGATTCGCCAATCTTTAATTTTGTGTACATATGGCTGCGAAGTCAATGGTGCCCTGTTCTGAGGTGTAAAATAATGACTTGCCTGGTCTATCCATGTGGTAATCCTCTTGTGCCATTTTGATGACTTTCTGATTAATTTGATTATTCTCTTCTTCTGTTGATAGAGGACTCGTACATCAGGCTATTCTTCATTTGTATATTTATTAGTTTGTTTGTCAGCTTTCTCATTTCCAGGAACTCCACAGTGGGACAGTATCCATGGTATAGTTATTTTACACCTGATGCCTAGGTTTTAGAGTACAGTCTGTATACCTGGTAATTTTCCAGATTGGAATGCCTGAAGTACTGCTCTTGCACCTGTCATGAATACCCTGGGTTGTGAAACATGACTGGTCTTTAGCAGTTTCTCTGCTGCTGTCTTGATGGGCTCGAACTTTTGACTCAGGAAAATCACCACAGCACATGAAGTCATAGCATCTTTTTCTCACCTCTTGATCTTCTAGAATTTGCTTTTTCTGCTCTCTCCCTCAGCTCGCAGTGATTCTGTTATACTGTTTTAGTCAGGATGTTGTAATAACTGAGACTCTCAAATTTTGAATTATTGACTGTATTGTTTTGTTTCAGGTTTGCGGTAAAATCAACATATGACAATACCTGTACAGCTTCAGAGCTGCATAATCAATGGAGTCAGCAATGAGTTTGGATGGGAAGTTAACTGACTCAGAAAAACTGTTGAAAGCACGAGAGTACAAAGAAAAGGGCAATGCGGCTTACAAAGATGGGAAGTTTAATAAAGCAGCAGGTAGCTATTACAGAGCCATCCTTTATCTGAAGGGCCTAAGCATTAACTGCCCAGATATTCTTGCAGGCCTGGCAGCAGTAGGTGGAGATGGTATACCTCAGAATTCCATACCAAAGATGTCAACAGAACTGACGGAGGATGCTCAAATGTTAACTTGTGAATGTCATAACAATTTGGCAGGTAAAAGGCTAGTTTTCTTCTGCTGTTTGTCTCTAGGCTCTCAGCCAACTTATGCTCTTTCTGATGTTTTGTCATCTCCAGCAGCTCCCTCAGTGTTATCCTCATCTGCTCTGTCTTTAATAGAAGGTT